AGAGAGAGAGAGAGAGAGAGAGAGAAAGAGAGAGAGATCGTACTGGTGCCTCTTTTTATAGGCACTAATCCCATTGCAAGGGTCCCATACTCACACCTCTTCTAACCCTCATCACCTCCCAAAGGCCCATTTCCAAATGCCATCACCTTGGGGGTTAGCGCTCCAACATATGATTTGGGCGGGGAGGGAGAAGACACAATTCATTGTGTTAGAAGAATTAGAAGTTGTGCCCGAGTATAAAATTAGAAAAAAACACATTTCGACATTTGAGTGACATAGCAGAGGCAAGGGGAAAATACCTTTCAGGACTGCACAGTTTCTGCCATAAAGAAAGCGAAACGATTTCCAATCACCTCAAAACTGCTGCAACGGAAACTTTGTGAAGATTGTAAGGAACATGGCAGGATAGCTGGAAGAAGAAACGTTTGTCCTTGTCATAACTATTTTAAGACCTATAAAACACCGTTGTAATCTATTCAATGAACTACCTTTTTTCTGGTGGTGGTTTTATTGGGAGAATGAAAATATATTTCTAAGGGGTTTTATTAGAAACTTAGAACTTCAACCATCTGCTTCTGAAATTTAAGTGGACATCATGTTTGGAGTAAAATATACTAAAAGCAAACCTGTATTATGAACCAGGCTTTCAACATTTTACTCATATTATCTCAGTGAATCCTCACAAGATCCTTCCATACACGTGTTTACCATTTGTGTAGCTCAGAAAAAAGTTAAAATACTTGGTACAATTTTACTGGCTAGGTCAAGGCAGACCCAAAGTTTCAATCCAGGCAGTCAAGCTTCAGAGCCTAAGGTTTTAGCCACTATACCCAGCTTGCTCTCTTGTTAAGTGGCAGCCTTCCTAGAGATTTATTTTTGGTTTATTTTTTTTNGGCCCATGTTGGTATTATCATTGTGCTCTTCCTGGGTAAGGCAGTCGCTCGCCAGCCACTGGATGGCCGCTCACGGTGGCTCACAGCAGCTCATGCTGGCTGCCGGCCACACACAGTAGCTCACGGCAGCCCACTGCAGCCCCGCTGCAGCCTACGCCATCACTGGCGACTCACAGCGGCCCAGCTCCAGGTTGAGCTGTTGTTTATCATCTTAGCTGTAAAGGGCACAGCGTCACTGGCCCTCAATGTAGGATCTGAACCGCGGCCCTGCTGCTCAGAGCTGGCGCTCCCAACTGAGCTGTTAACCAGCTGAGCCACTCGGGCAGCCCTCCATGTGCTTCTTCAATGCTATGCACATCCCTGCCCCAGGACCTTTGCACGTTCCCTCTTCCAAGATGCTCGTCTTCAAATACCCACAGAGCCCACGTCCTCCTTTCATTCAGCCTCAGCTTAAATGCTACCTTAATAGAGAGACCGTACTTGACCCCCATCTTATCAAAAACAATGTACCCTGCCCATCACCTGTCCTCTTACCCCACTGTGGTTTTGTTTTCTATATTGCATTTATCATTTCTGGCATACTATTTATTGCCTATTTATTGTCTGGTCTTCCCCACCTTAGAATATAAGTGCCACATGAGTGGGGCATTTGCCTTGTTCCCTGTGGTATCTCTATCTTCAGCTCTGACACGTGGTAGATATGTGTTGAGTGAATTTGAAGTGAGAAAACGAAAGCTCAGAGAGGTTAAGTAACTTCCCCAAAGACACAGAGCTTCAAGCAATACGGCCAGAATTCAAACCCAAACAATTTAGCATCTAACATTGAGCCATAGAAGCATTGCTGCCTATAAGGAAAAATTTCTTAGGTGTTTATGGCTGCCTCCTCCGACCTTCTCTACCTGGGTTCTGTCTGTTTCCACTCAGAGTGGTCTTCCCATAACTAAAATCGGATCAGGCATAAAATCCCTCTTGAAAGTGGTGTCCCTCACCTTCAACAGAAAACCCCCCACCCCCACCTTCTTAGACCACTGCACAAAGCACAGTAAAGCTTGGCCTCCAGCTGTGACCTAATGCTGTAGAGCAAATATAGATTTCTGAGTCAGGCAGACCCGGATCTGTGTCGTGTCCAGCACCCCACTCACAGGCTCTCTGAACATGGGCAAGTTAGGAATATNTTTTGATTATAGCTGCTTTGTCTGAAATGGAATTTCTTTGTGGTTTTGATCTGCATTTCCCTAGTGACTAATGCTGTTGAGTATCTTTTCATGTGCCTATTGGCGATTGTACATCTTCTTTGAATAAATATCTAGTTTGAGCCTTTTTCCATTTTTAAATTGGATTATCTTTTTATTGTTGAGTTATGAGTTTTTTGTATGTTCTAGATACACGTACCTTATTCTGCAAATATGTGATGTACAAATATTTTCTCCCATTCTGTGAGTTGCCTTTCATTTTCTTCATCGTGTCCTTGGAAGCACAAATATTTTTAATTTTGATGAAGACCAATTTATGTTTTCTTTTACTGCTTGTACTTTTGGTGTCATATCTAAGAATCCATTGCCAAATCCAAGGTCATGAAGATTTAGTTATTTTCTTCTAAGAGTTGTATAGCTTTGGCTCTTACATTTAGGTCTTTGATCCATTTAAGTTAACTTTTGCATATGGTGTAAGATAGGGGTTCAAGTTCATTTTCTTGCATGTGGCTATCCAGTTGTCTCAGCACCATTTCTTTCTTTTTTCAGTTGAGCCATCCTGCCACCTGTTGGCAGCTCAGCTCGGGCTGGGAATCAAACTGGCAACCCTGTTGCTCAGAGCTCGCACTCTTGAGCGAGCTCTTAACCAACTGAGCCACTCGGCCAGCCCTCAGCACCATTTCTTGAAAAGACTATTCTTTCCCCTTATCAAAAATTGATTGACCATAAATGGATGGGTTCATTTTTGGACTCAGTTCTGTTCTGTTGATCTAATGTCTTTTCTTATGGCTAGTACCACACTATTTTGCTTACTGTTGTTTTGTAGTAAGTTTTGAAATTGAGATGTGAGTACTCCAACTTTGTTCTTTTTCAAGATTGTTTGGGCTATTCTGGGTCCCTTGCAATTCCATGTGAATTCTGGGATTAGCTTGTCAGTTTCTACACAGAAGCCAGCTGTGATTCTGATAGTGATGTGTTGAATCCTTAGATCAATTTGGGGAGTATTGTCATGGATCTCCTGATCCATGAACATGGGATGTTTTCCCATTTATTGAGGGCTTTAAAGATTTTTTTGAATGTAAGATTTTCAAGAATATAAGATTAACATTTCACATATTAAATCTATTCCTAAGTATATTATTATTTTTGCTGTTATTGCACGTGAAATTGTTTTCTTCATTTCATTTTTGGATCATACACCTGTGTATTTTCAATGCTTAGGTTTTATCTGTACTTTATTCCCCAAACATTAA